CAATATGCTAAGTCTAACCTCGAAGAGGTTCGATTTAGCTGTTATCTAGTTTACAAATCAAAAGCTTAATGATTATGCTCTAGCAAGTTATCAATTTATCAATATACAGGAAACCATCCTAAAGCCATTTCCTTTACACAAACCTAAGACAAAAAAGTCTAATCTTTCGTATACCTATATGTAAAAGTCTAACCACTTGAACACATATCAAACATCAGGACTTTATCCTGAAATCTATTAACATATTGAATCATATAATAACCCATAATATGAAGACGACAACGACACAAGATGACCCAGTAGGCTTACCACATCCTGATTCCATACAAGGCTGGCGTTTTTTAGCTTTGTAATGCAATCGACAACCTTCAGATCGAATACAAGCTTATTACAAGTCTTACCAGAATTATGAAGATAATCACAAATAAAATCCGCTTTCATTTTTTTTTCTATATATATATATAAAATAATTTAAATTAAACAAATCTTTACACAATATAGTAATACATACACTTATACAATGAGTACACAAATTCAATTATCTGAAGCAAAACCCACATCCCAGGAAGTCGAGCAGGCATTAATAAATGTAGTTAAAGCAAGAATATATTATAGAAAGTCAAAGGATGGCAAATTCATGCAAAGCTATAAAGAGCGGGTAAAAATTTACGCCAAGCAAAAGATCCCAATGAATATATCCTAGAAAATGCATAACGATTGTTCCCAGATAAGAATAAATATCATAGTATTATAGATGACTATAAATCTTGGTATGGAAAAGATCCAAAAATTCTTAATGCAGTAATAGATTTATATAAATTATACTATAAATTAGCCAAAGATTATTTCAATACTGAAGAACAAGTTAATAAAGAACTTGAAGACTTTCTTAATTACTAAGTACCCATTGAGGTGGTAGCTGTGCTTCTTTAATAACTATCAATCTTTCTCTTACAAAGATCTTTTCAGACTATTACTTTCATCATCTTCTAGCCAGTATAAGACTAGCTGATTTTTTTGCAATAAAGATTCACAGATATGATAGATTTGAGAAGACCAATTCATATTACCAGCATGTCTTCTTCCACTTTCTAACTCACCTGGTTTTAGTAAATATCTTACAAGAACATCATAAGTTAATTGCTTCTCATCAAACCCTATAGGTCTATTTCGAGGCTTAGAAGGTTTAGCATAAACATGCTTCAATTTTCGTGTATTAGCAGGAGAAATACCTAGAAGACAAGTCACAGAATTATTAAGATTCTCAAGAAAAATTGGAAGGTTTCTAATCCAAACTCAACAACGTTCTGATATAGGTAATCTCATATCAATAGCATCTTGAATAATAGATGATCATTCTTGTAATGTCTTATTAAACTTTTCAACAATACCCATACTTTCTTTAGAATTAACTATTCAAATATTGATACCATATTTATTAATTAATCTAATAACATCACCCCGAAATTCAACACCCTTATCAACCATAAGATCTTTTTTAGGCTAAGTAAGTAGATATTTTTAGGAGTTAAAAGATTTCTCAAGGCCTATAGCAACACTAGCAGAATCACGTTTAGTTAAGGAATAGCTCCATTTTATACGAGTAGTAATATCTACACAATTAAGCGCAAATTTATAAATTTTGTTTTTAATTTGATCATAAGGCATATAGCATAAATCAGCTTGAATAACCCACATAGGTATAGTAATATTAATGAAAGATGCACTTGGAATATTTCTA